AACATCACGTTGATATGGATTTAAATGATAGATATAAAACACCCCGACTTATAAGTCTTCTCTTGACCACAAATACGTGATTTTATTTTTTAGAAGGTCGTTAAAATCTATTTTAAAACCAAGTTGTTTTGACTCTCATATTACTCTAAAAACTGCAAACGATAAGGTTAAAAGTTTGTGGTAGATTTATGCGACTTGCATTACTTTTTTTCTAAATCGAGTGGTCCCAGAGTTAGAGTTGAGCTAAAAAGAAAATAGTGCATTTATCAGGGATGAAAAAACTGCAGGAATCTAAAACAAAATGTGTCGTATTCAAAGGGACTAAAAATGTAGTTAATCCTACATATGATAGATAAATTATTATATGTTTTCACGGTTAATTTGCTTATTTATAATATTACTACTATTAATCCTTTTTTATTTAGGTGATGAAGAGATTAATAATCAGGATTAGAAGGATCTTGAATTCTTTTCTAAAACCTTGTAGACTACTTTTTTCAGCGAGTACATTTTTACGATTTATTTGTATACATCTGTAGTTTTATATGAATCTTGCCTAACAAATTTCTTGAGAAGGGGGAGCAGTTATTGTGACATAATTCTCTTAATTGCGAGATTTGTTTAGGTCTTAAGTAGTACCGAGCTATAAGAATTTAAGAACTAATGAGCTCTGGAAAAAAAGGAAAAAAATAATTTTGATTACCATTACAAAAATTAATACTAAAGAGTTTAAAATTAAAATAAAATGTAGGTTGCTTTAATGGTACTTTTTGTCGCATAAAAGTCGCTCATATGAAATAAGCTCGCTTTGTTGGCTGACGAACATTATCTGATTATCGTAGTGAGTGATTAACGTGTCTTGCATTTATCAACTCTGTTTTTTTAGTTGAGATGTTCTCAAAATCCAATCGTATTACATTATTGGAGATTGATGAGAAACTACTATAATTCTTTTATTTTGTTGTATGGGGTATACTGACTATCAAAACTATTCAAAAAAAATGTACTTTACCAATGGATTATATGATTAATATGTATGTAGTATTTATATAAGACTTCAAGTTACTTAATAATCCTAGAAGAGCCCCGCTTTGATATGGGAGTCCCAAATTAAAGCCTCATATAGTTCCACAGACAAATAATTTCTCATCGAGATTAGTTTGTTTAGTATTTATCTTAAACTTTGAATTAAATAATAAGTCTAGAAGAATCTCACGGTAACAAAGTTTCACTTTATTGTTTTTTCTCCCGGTGGAGTCCTACTTTGGGAGTTTCCTTTTACTATTTTTCTCCTTATGGATTATTAAATTTAATGATATATATGTGATGTTAAATATTATATTTATTAACCAATTATTGAATGACACATCAGCGCTTAACAACTGAGTTTTACTGTATAAAACAATAGATAGGTACTCAAACTCGATCGCAGGCTTTATTATTCGAAGGAGAGTTTTTTTTATCATTTCGAAGGAGAGTTATTCATTCATAAAAGAGCAAATTGATTTGTTAATCATGAGACATGCAATAATAAATTTATAATGATCAAAATTATTGCTTATTTCCCCAACTCACCTCAAACCTAGACCCTAAACGCTACCCGGCCATTAAAACACCCAATTGTCCCAAACAAAGACTCCAAATACATAACAGAATGAAGTTAGAATAAAAATAAAAGAAAAACTACAGAAAAACAATGTCAAAATTAAAATTGATCGTTGTCTCTTCGAGCTTCTAGGCGGGCATGTAACCCTGAACCCACCCCAATCCCGTTTTTGTCGCTTCCAACTTTAGCTCCATCATAGTTTGATCACCTTCTATCTTTCCTTCCTCCACTCGTGACGTCTTTATCCTCTACTTGAGCCACTTCCTACTGCTTTCTCAAATCTCCACACAGCCACACTGGCCTTCATATATATTCACTAGGGGCATGTTCGACTTTTTCAGTTCATTTTTGACAAAAAACCAAATACGAAACTGATGTAAAAAAGAATGGTTCGGTTTCGTTTCGATTTTATATTTCAAAACTTGAAACCATGGTTTGATTGGTTTATTTCGGTTCGGTTTCGTTTTTTTAGTTTTTTTTTAAATAAAAAACTTCATTTGATTTAAACTGATACGACGGTTGGGATCAAACATATATCTTTATACATATAAAGATTGTATGATGGGATTCGAAATATTTTATTTCTCCTCCAACAAAATCACATTATATATTGAAGTATTTAAGGCTAAAGGGTCAAATAGGCCCCTGTACCTGTTCAGAATGCTCAATTCGCACCCCTAACTCAAAAAGCTCCAAATCACCCCCCTGAACTCGCCAAAAATGTTCAAATCCCATTTTTTTGCAGGTAAAATTCCGGTCATCGCCACATCAGCCGGTTAGATGCCAACCGTGCATCCCACATGGAAATCTAAGGGGTCAAATAGACCCCTGAACCCGACAAAGTTGTTCAATTTACCCCTTCAACCGTTGAAAAGTGTCCAAATTGCTATTAAAAATATGAAATTAAAAAATCGAGAAAAAATAAAATAAAATGATATACAAGTTCATAATATAAAACATAGATGTCTATTTATAATATAATAAGACAATTTTTATATTTCAGGGTAAATTATATATATATATATATAGACATAACGAAGGTACTTATTTTTTAAATAAATATTATAAAAATGTAGTAGTCCCTAGCTATTTACATATTATAATTTTTATATAGTACAATTTTTTTATGTTAAATATAATTAGTATGAAGTATAGTATGTAGTATATGATTCTATAATAAAATAATATGAAGTATATATATACATATATGCATGTGTGTGTGTGTAATTTTACATATAAATCTAAAACATATTAAAATCTGAAAATAGTTTTAATGAATTTCTTTTAGTTTATTTTATATGAATTTACTATAAATATATCCTTATTTTTTGCGGTAAATTCACATAAAACAAAACAAAAAAATTCATTTAAAATATTTTGATATTATAAATACATTAAAAAAATTCAACCATACATTTTTTATAAATTAATACTAATTTTTTAATATTTTGTCATATTATAAATAGACTCATAAATATTTAAAATATTAAATGTACTCTAAAATATAAATAATTTATTGTCATATTATAAGTAGACTCATATATTAATTTTATATTATGAACTTGTATATAGTTTATATTTACATTTTCTATTTTTTATTTTTTATTTTTTAATGGCAATTTGGATACTTTTTAACGGTTTAGGGGGTAAATTGAACAACTTTGTCGGGTTCAGGTGTCTATTTGACCCCTTAGATTTCCACGTGGGATGCACGATTGGCATCTAACCGGGTGACGTGGCAATGACCGGAAACTCACCTGCAAAAAATGGGATTTGAACTTTTTTGACGAGTTCAGGGGGTGAATTGAAGCTTTTTTGAGTTTGGGGTGCGAATTGAGCATTCCGGACAGGTACAAGGGCCTACTTGACCCTTTAGCCAGTATTTAATGAACTCTATAATTAATCAACAATATTTAAAACCTAGTAAAGAATAATCAGTTTAAGTAAATAATAAAACCAACATTAATTCCAGTATAAACTTAAAGGTCATTAACTTTGTAAGTAGTTTATAGGTATTGATATTTTAATTTTTTTCTAACATCATATTTTTGGATGGTTCTTTGATAATTACGGTACAAAAGTGACTATAAGAACACCATATGAGAGATGAATAAGAAGAATGGTTATGGTAATAATAAATAAAAAAGTGCTTTTAGAAAATAATATACAATTATAAGATGATACTGATGGTATTTTCCGATTCTAAATTAATTTTGAGTTTATTAATTTTTTGTTCAAAACTATTCCTAACACATCAACCACACAAAAATAGTTAGTATTTATGAAGGAATTAGAAGAACATTTTGGGGTACTCCAAAATAAAATGGATTTTTTTCTGAAAGGAATGTAATAAATTTTAATCAAGATGAGTTAAAATAACCACATAAATTTAACCTTTCTACAACATAAAAACCTCTATTATGTTATGTTTGAAATTTGTGTAAATTTTGTCAAGATTAGTGGTAAGTAAAAAAATGTAAAAGTGTACACACATAGACAATGAAAAACATAACTTCATGTTGCTTTAAGTAAATGGAATAATAGGAATATTTTTTTACAAGCTGTGTGTAATGTGCGTAGTTGTCAGGTATCTAGCTAACGGCAACTGTATAAGTTTATAAATATAAAGATCTGTAAAAATAATAATTCAATATAACCGAACCGACCCAACCCAATATAAGACATTGGTCCGGGTTTTATTTTAAAAATGACCGGTCTGGGTTAAAATACCCGACCCGAACCCAAAAACTTGGGTCCTAATCCGGGTTCTAAAATTTTAAACCCGACCCGGACCGAGAAAACCCGATTTAATTAAGAAACTAAAAAATATATTTTTATATAAAATACATATGAACTATTAATACATCATACCGATTTATACTACACCCGTCCCAAATTGATTTGCAAAATTGATTTTTAGTCAAACAATTCCATTTTATTCACTTAATTTGGATGTCAATTTTTAATTATATTTAATTTGGAGTTTGCAATTTTGAAGAGATTTTAATGCAGTTTTTGAATATATAAATTTTAATTATTAAGAATTGAATTAAGTATAAATATGGAGGATTTAACTTTAATTTTGATTGACGAAAGAATCTTGACATTATAAATCAATTTGGGACGGGGGAATATTACTTTGCTTTCAAACCAATTGTTCTTCTACAACATTTTCTATGGTGTAATTTTTAGATTCAAAATATATTGCTTTGGTTTTAATATACTATGTACGTAGTATATTTTTTGATTAAAAGTTGGATTTTTTTCGGGTTCAACCCAACCCGACCTGAACCCAATCCAAACCTGAGACTCTTAAAACCCGGACCAACCCCAAAGTTTTGGTCCTAGCCAAAACCCGAACCAACCCTACCCGTCCCACCCCTAATTGCGAACACAAACGCTGCCCTAAATATAAACAAGGACAATGAGGAGAGCCAGCCCCTCCTTATTTCACTCGCTGCTCTCTCTCTGAGCAGTGCTCCGATCTTTCTATAGCTGACATGGGGGGCTCATCGAATGGCAACCATCCCGCCGCCACAGCCAGCCGCGGTGAAGGAGGCGCAACCGTGGTGGACAAGGGTGTCGATTTCGCCAATTATTTCTGCACTTACGCCTATCTCTACCACCAAAAAGATATGCTCACTGACCGCGTTCGCATGGACTCATATTACAATGCTGTTTTCCAGAACAAGCATCACTTTGCTGGAAAGGTCTGGGATTTATCCCTTTTATCCATTTACACGTATTTAGCATTCAAGTTAAACAGAAAAAGACTAACTTTTGAGTTTATGAATGCAACTTTTTAACTTGCCTATTTTTTTGAAGTATTCAATAGTTTGAAGTAGTTCATACCTTAAAGTTCGCTGTCGTTCCAAGCTGCTTTAAATTTTTATGTTCATACATTAAGGTGTTGAATTACCGTGCTTAGTGAGCCTGAAACTCATGATTCTTAGTATAAAAGTTCTACATGAAGATGAATTGTAAAAGCTTAGTTTTTTCCCTTGCAAGTATGTGTGTACAACAACAACATCCAAGCTTTCCCAAAAGAGTTTGGCTTCTGCTAACATGAATGGACATATGAAACCAAAGCTAACTTGCAAGTATGTGTGTGTGTTGGTTTTATTCCTTGCAAGATTATTAACAGCTGATTGACTTGCTGTATGCACAAATGGAATTAGAAATCATATGAAGAAACACACTTATTGTTTTGTGCTTCTGGGACTGAGGTTTAGATTGTGAAAAATGGGAGTAATACATGTATTGCATGTCAGGTTTGTTTTCAGTGCCATGGTGTGCGGGCTGGCGGGCTAACTATCACCATCCTAAATTTTATTCGATATCATTCTTAATGTTAGAAGAAAAACTTGCTAGCAAATAAAGGAAACTGGCCCACACTATATCAGTATATCACTGTCGTATTTTTTGATAAGGGAGCTTGCAAATAACACATAAATCATCTCAACTCTCATTCCATAATTCATGTGTTTACAATTGCTCTTTTTTATTTTGCGAGTAGTTTGCATTAATGTCAGGACTGAGAGGGTTATCCCTGCAATAGGCTGTATTGGATGTAGGAACAGGGAGTGGTATTCTAGCAATATGGTCTGCGCAAGCAGGTGCAAGAAAAGTCTATGCAGTGGAAGCGACCAAAATGGCTGACCATGCCCGTGAACTAATAAGAGCAAATAACCTTGAGGGAGTTATTGAAGTTATTGAAGGATCAATGGAAGATGTTAATCTACCAGAGAAGGGTGAGACTGAGAGCAATTCAAATATTTAATGTTACAAGAAGTTTAAAATTTTAATTTTGATAGTTATGTGATAAATGCATTGGTTGGCAGTTGATGTGATCATATCGGAATGGATGGGATATTTTCTTCTGCGTGAGTCAATGTTTGACTCTGTAATTTCTGCGCGTGATCGATGGCTCAAGCCTAATGGAGTTATGTAGGTCTTTCTGCACATTGAATCTCTTTTTGGCTGTGAATTGGATTGCTGTTTCTTACAGTCTCCACCCAACATTATGATGTTTGCTTCAGTACTTGTTTAAAGCCTAATTCCTGTGATGCATCTTTTCTGATTTGGTAAAATGGGTTGTACAGGTATCCTAGCCATGCTAGGATGTGGGTAGCACCTATTCGATCTGGATTAGTTGATCAAAAGAAAAGTGATTGTGATGGAGCCATGAATGAATGGAATCAATTTGTGAATGATACTAAGAATTATTACGGTGTTGATATGGGTGTTTTAACAAAAGCCTATATGGAAGAGCAGAAGAAATACTATTTACAGGTTGGCATGCATAACACATTATTCCAGGTTTTGTCATTTTTGTTGAATGATTTATAAGGTACCAATATCCATCGAGTAAAATTTCCCAGACCCCCAAAAATGTAATGTTTTTAACACCTTTGCCCCATTGAAGAGTTGCCAAAAAGAGGCAAAGAAAGTTGCATATGAATATATGATAAATTTAGGGGCTGTTTACTTTTTTCTTCATTAAGTCCTGAATGGATCAAGACGTCTGTCTGCATTAAGCTGTCTGTCTGGATTAAGTTACACTGAGATAACAAACTGTTTACTAAGTGTGCTGAATGAGAAATCTGAATCATGTCAAATGACCAAATAACCCTCCTGTCCGTAACGGACAAGTTCTGAATGTATATTGTCTGTTTACTTTCCTCATTTTGAAAAATAAAATGGGAAAATTGTCAAATAGGTCCTCGAACTTTCATAAAAAAGTCAATTAAGTCCTTCTATAGGAGACTCTGTCCGGTCGTTGCGATTTGGGGCGGTTCCCGATGGAATTTTTTGATGAAATTTTTGGAGCATCTTATTCATCAAGTCTAGTTTACTCATAGTCTCATACCAAATTCCAGCTAAAAATTTAATCGGGAGCGCATTCAAATTAATTCAAGAGCGCAAAAATGCGCAGTTATCTTCAAGAATTAATTTGAATGTGTTCCCGATTGAATTTTTAGCTGAAATTTGGTATGAGTAAACTAGACTTGGTGAATAAAATGCTCAAAAAATTTCATCAAAAAATTCCACCGGGAACTGCCCCAAATCGCGACGGCCGGACAAAACCTCTAGAAAGACTTAATTGACCTTTTTATGAAAGTTCGAGGACCTATTTGACAGTTTTCCCAAATAAAATTTATATACCAGAAAATAATAATACTATGAATTACTTAAATAAAAGAGTTTTTTCACCAGAAAATTTATATACCAGAAAATAATTAAATAAGTCATAAAATCAAAGATCTGTTTTTTAAACAAAACTGTGAAATAAAAATTCACTTCACAGCCGAGGTGTTTTACTGTATGATTTTCAATCTGAAGCAGCAAGAACAACACCCTGAATTGCCACCGTCGAGGCATCTTTGAAAACCCAGCAAAAAACAAAAATCCAGAAAATTGAAACCATTATCTGGAAACAACGTTTCATGCTCAACTTAGTTTTTGAAATAAAACCCGATTTCAAAAGCCTAATTTCAGCTTTCAATTCACGAAAGTGTAAAAATGAAGATCTACTTATTCTATGGTTTGTCCTCCAATTAAATTCAGCCAAGTATGCAAGTCAGCAAGTGGATTACTTTGAGAGTTTGCTCTTGGTTCAAAATCGAAGGAGCAGAGCATATAGTAAGGCAATTGTATATTCATATAAAAACTATGAAATTTAAAAAATAAACAATTCCAGAAGTTATCTAGATAAATCCGTAGTGAAGATGTAGATCCTGCAGTGATGAAATTGTCTGCTCAAGAAGAAGAGTAGCGACCTTGCTCTGATGCTCTCTATCATCCGTCAAAGAAGAACCCGATGTTCCAAGGATGATAAAAGAAATTATTGCCTAGGGTTAAAAGAGGGAAACAGGGGCCTGTTCCGTGTCTGAAGCCAGAGGAGTGTTTTTTTCAGCTGAACGAATAAGTCACACCTTGTCTGAGCGAATAAGTCATCTGTTTTATTAAGTTCCAAGTAAACACGACTTAATGAATTAATGGTTAAGTCATCAAGTCCATTAAATCCATTAAGTCCAAGAAAACAGCCCCTTAGTTAAACTAACAAATACAACAACTTTACCCCATTGCCGCAAAGGTTCCCATCTACGGTGGTGTGGGGGGGGGGAGTTGGATGTACGTAGCCGTAGCTTTAGGATGTTTTTACTTGGACTGTAATTTGCTGGTCTGGTCTGGTCGGGTCTGAACTGGTCTGGTCTGGTCTGGTTTCTTTTTATTTTTATAACTAGCCAAGTCTGGTCTGAACTGGTCTGGTCTGGTTTGGGACAAATTACAGTCCAAGTAAGAACATCCTTACTCTGTACTAAAACACAAAAAGACCGTTTCCTAACACAGAGAGTGTTTCATAACACATAGATTGACAACTTAGTGAGACATTTTGCTTTATTCCATCATTCCCAAACCAAAAATTAGTGAGTTTTTGGCTCCATTGGAAATGATGGAAATTAGTTAAACCAACAAACGAGATAAAAAAACAAGTACTCCCTCCGTCCCCTTTTAAATGTCCCGTTTTACCATATTGGGCTGTCCCTATTTAATTGCCCCATACCTTATTTGGTAAACTTTGTGTGGCTCAAAATCATTCTTACTTTATTCTTACTTTATCAATTAATATCAACCATACAAACTCACTTTTCTTAAAACCCGTGCCACCATCTCCCGTCCCATTTAAAAGGGGACGGAGGGAGTAGTATTCATGATTTATGGCAGTTGTACATTACCAATTCTAAAAATTTGTACCTTGGTCAATCATTTTTTTTAGAAGTCTTGTGTTTAGACGGGGAGGTGATATGTAAGTTGCGCATGTATGTATCATATGAGTCCTATGTAAATGGCGCCACCATAAGTGACAAAATGATTCTTTTATTGCCTCGAATATATTAAAACCATGCTATTGATTTTATAGACGTCACTTTGGGGCAGCCTTCATCCCAATCAAGTCATTGGACAGCCTGCTATTATAAAGGAAATCGATTGTCTGACATCAACTGTTAAGGACATAGTCAATCTGCGATCAAGTTTTTCATCATTGATTACTGCTGAAAATACCAGGCTTTGTGGGTTTGGTGGATGGTTTGACGTGCACTTTAAAGTGAGTTTACTTGTTCAGTTTTTTTTTTGGTTTTCTGTACAAATTTCATTTATGCAAACTCATTGTGGTTCACTCCGTTAGGGACGTGTTGACAATGTAGTTAAACAGGAGGTGGAGCTGACAACTGCTCCTAGTGAAGAATTTTGTACACATTGGGGACAGCAGGTTTGTCCTGTCCTTGCATCTGATTCTCAATACAGCAATGAACATTGTTTTGAATTAGTCTTTTATACTTATAGATATGCTGTGTTGTCAGGTGTTTCTATTGCATCCGCCCAGGAATGTTAGCAAAGGAGACAATCTGATCATCAATTTTGGCATGAACCGCTCTAAAGAAAACCACAGGTTGTTGGAAGTGGACTTTGACTATGAGATTCAGCGCTCTTCCGGGCAATCAAGCCCCTCATTCAGAACAAAGGTTTACATAGAATGAGCTCAGCAAACCTGGAATGGCGTCTGGTATCATTTATCAACTTTATAAGTGCTTTATCTGCTTCAGGCAATGGAAATGTGTGTTTTTGTTCCCTTTGCTGTTTTATGTTTGCTAATACCCTAAAGCTGTTGTATTCATAGAGTAGAGTTAGTTAGAAAAACGTCTCATGTATTGCAAAAGGTGTGATAACTTTATCTGTTTAATTTTGATTATTATTTAATGCATGTTTAAAATACAGTTCTGGCAGGGGCAGGATCGGACTCAAGAATCTGGGTAGGACTGGGTTGAAGAGTCCGGATTGGACGATTAAAAATTTAAAATCGGTCTGCGAAATGCAAACCCATCACAAGAGTCAATAAAAGGGGTTTTTACAAGAATATTACTTAAATAAAACTTATTTACATAAATAGGACTATTCATTACTACAACGTAATGTTGTGGTAACTAAAGTTGAAAACTTGAACATGAATTACTATGATTTCATTACTACTCTAATAACTAATCATATTTTTGTAAATCATCTTTATTTTGGTCATATTTATGCAATTATTTCTCAATAAAACCTGGTCCGCTAGTACAAATGTACAATGCTTTCTTAAAGAATAAAATTAAAAATACTATAATAAACCAAGACATTTTTTCGTAAACAAGACCAAATAAGACGGAAGAAGTAGAAGAAAGAAGAAAAATAAAAAGACGGAAGAAGAATGTAGTACTACGTATGTTACAGTCTTGATACTGAACAAATAATAAAAAGCTGCGCAAAATGACAACTTTGCTCCTTTCTAATGAAATTAGAATTATTTCCCTTAGTAGTTTCAATATTATCATTTAAATTATTTATTGTGAAGATTCATTCACATTATTATTAATTAATGATAATTAATTAGTGATATAGTGAATGATTGATTAATATTATATTGAGTTTTATTTATACTATAAATAATTGATTAATATTAGGAAAAATTGACATTAATAATCTCAACTATTATATCTCATCTCATCAACTTTAGAAACTACAAGAATTTATTCATAGGGACCATTATTGGCGGAAGGTCCCTAAAGTTGGGATTATTCTAGAATAATCAATCGTTGGGATTATTATGAGCGGACCGTCAATAGTTGGGATTATTACTATCAATTTTTCCTTAATATTATATTTATTTATATTTATAATAATATATACTCCCTCTGTCCCATTTAAAGTTTTCCACGTGGTTTATGATGTTTGATTGACGATAAAGTTAATTGATCTCTATCATTAATAAGATTATTTTTAGTAAATAAAATTGGGAAAATGGAAACTAATAATCCAACTTTTCAGCAGTCTTCTTACAATAGTCCCATCTTTTTATTTTTCAAGAATAATCTAACCTTTGCACCTCATCTTCATTCGTTGGTCCCTGACTGGTTAGTGACCTGCTATTCCAAGTTATTTTCTTATCTTTGCAAAATATTATCTTTGTGAAAGGTGAGATTTATGGTATAACGGTTTGCAAAGATAAGAAAATAACTTGGAATAACAGGTCATCAACCGGTCAGGGACCAATGAATGAAGATGAGGTGCAAAGGTTGGATTATTCATGAATAACGAAAATGTGGGACTATTGTAAGAAGACCGCTGAAAGGTTTGATTATTAGTTTCAATATTCCCAATAAAATTTACATAATCAGAAACTACATTAAAAGTTTTATAACACCTGATAAAGAAAAATTAAATTTGATAAAAGTTGGAAATATAAAGTAAAAAATTAACAACAATACACATTGATGCGTTAATGCGTATTTTCAAAATACCTATATCAACGGTTGTGGCAATGGGTGTGTGATTTCATCATTTATTCAAATCCTTAACTATTTTTAAAATTTTAAGTTTTTAAGTTAATTGCCTTCGTGGTAACATCATCAATATTCCCTACCAAATAAAAAGCCTGTTCAGGATGACCATTTAATTCGCCAACAAGGATTAAATGAAATCCTCTAATCGTTTCAGCGAGACCTACGTGTTTACGTGTAAAGTAGGGGTGGGTTCGGTTCTTTCGGTTTGGTTTTGACCTAAAACCAAACACGGAATCAAAGTAAAGGTTCGGTTCGATTCTTGTGAAAGTTTGCTTGACACTTTGCGCATTTACATAATGTTCCTCACCAATGATCCGAGGTAGCAACATCATTGATGTTGAATCTAAAGGGTCAAAGGGTGGATAGGTACCTTTTGCAGCTAAACCGCTTGAGAGTACGTTAGTTGTATCTAAGTGTGCAAATATCGTCGTAGGAGCAAGATCATTCAAATCACTAGTAGGTACATAATCTGCTTGGGTTGAGGTTATGATATTCTCTTTGGTGGAAGTAATTCTTTCTTGTAAAGAACCACTTTCTGTACTCAAGGTTGGTTGATTTTTTTTTTTTTTTTTGAAAATAGGTTGGTTGTTAACATACAGTAGAAGGCATTCTACCCAGATACTTCTAATCCCCACTTGGACGAAATGACATATATTGTCAATAAACAGACATATTCCGCTATAGTTAGGGGAGTCAAACCAACTCTCATATGAGCTCTTGGCATTTCATTCATCTAGCTGTAAATTAGGGTCACTTTTGATTCTGCAATATTTTGGTCATTAATTAATCCAGATTCTTTCATTTTCGCGTAAAGATGATTTCCTTCGCTAGTACATTCACCCACTTCGCCAAATACAAATACTCCTCTGTGTGCTTTGGCGATAGTTTTAATTAATTCAATTAGGAGTACTCTTTTCCACTTTTCCACACTCCAGCTCCCCCGAATAGTCCAATTTTTCCTCCACAGCGATAGGAGGCTAAAGATCTTTGATGATTGGTGCCGTTGTACCGGGAGGTGTCTTGTGACTCTCTATCATCGCCATTTGCCTTTGACGATCCCACACTATTCGCTCTTTCAGGAGAGACAACTGAAGTTTGGATGACTGCGTGTTGTAACTATGTTCTCGTCGTGCTGTTGGGCTCCTCCAGAGTCCCTTGGCTCCGAGTCGTGTGTAACGAGCATTCAATCTGACTTCCTACGACTTCAGAAATTTCGACATCAATCGCTCCATTTGGATGGCCAAAGTCGGGGTTGGCTCCTCTCCTTCCACCGAAATGCGTTCCCTTACCGGGGTCTGCAATTGGGACACGGGCATGCGCTCCTCCCCACTACCTATCTGATACCAAACCCTGCTGGCGTTGATCTAGGTTCAGAGGTCTTTGGGAGCCTTCCTCCTTGGTGACACGACCTCTCCGTCCACGTTCTAGTAGGCTCTCTTCTTTCCCTGCTTCTTAACGAGGGTCTCTCTCCTAAAGGTGCCAAGCTTCTATTTTTAAGGGATATATGATGAGGTTGTTGGTTAGTTTTGACCGTGTAAACTGAGCGCTTTAGGCTTTTGGTATCTGCTCCCAACCGTTGGCACCAATGTTGGATTTTTATTAAGGTTAACCCAACATAAAGCCTTAACTCAAATTTGGATGATAACTTAAGAAATTGTAAAATATTTGGAGTAGCAACAATAATATGAAATTCTTGGATAGCAAAAAGATGATCTTCAAAATCACGGTCGGCCTACTCATAGATCAAAGCCTAACGGTTATAATGGATTAATTACAACAATAAATACAAGAACAATAACAGTTGATACATATTTAATCACCACTCCCTCCTCGCTAAGGTTATCTCATCTTTCCTCTTTGATCCGTCCTAATAAGATTTTCTCATACCAAATTTAGTAAAGTTTATGTAGTTCTAAATCATTCTTACTTTATTCTTATTTTATCAATTTAAAAAAAAAAAAAAAAAATTATCAATTTAATATTAACCATATAGACATACTTTTTTTAATAACCGCGTCATCTCTTCACGTCCCAAAGTTAGTGGGATAGAGGAAGTAAGATATTCCCTATTTAATGCATCTAAGATGATTGTCGAGTGCTTGTGACTTAGCCCTGACCGTTTAGTTCTCCTAGTGCAGTGACCGATACCATCCATTTGACTACCCCTTTGACCGCCCGGTTATCGAGTTAATATTCTCCATCACTACAATTATGGAGCATCAGATTAAGGTTTAAGGGTTAAAACAAGATGAGAAAAAAGGTCAAATAAGCTCACCTACAATTGTAGAACCATCACTTAGACCCTTGTACTTTAAAAAGGGTCATATAAACTCATTTACTCTTAAAAAAGAATCAATTGAGCCCAAATGACCTGAAGTTTACCTCTAATAGCAGGTCACTTTTTCTTTCCCTTATTTATTTATATATTTATATATTTATTTATTTATTTATTTATTTATATATTTATATATTTATTTATTTATTTATTTATTTATTTATTTATTTATTTATTTATTTATTTATTTATTTATTTATTTATTTATTTATTTATTTATTTATTTATTTATTTATTTATTTCCTTTTCTAATAGTGCATTCCAGCTTTTTTCGTCGTCCAAAAAAAGTATACACCAAGGGGATTCAAACCCTTAACCTGAGATGAAGCAGCAAGGACGGATACCAACTGGACTACTTCTTGATGTGAGACAACGTTACTCAATATATATATATATTGAGGCCGGCCTGACGGGATGCTCCGTCCGGCCGAGCCCGTTTGGGAACCTTCCCGGTGGAATTTTTTGATGAAATTTTTTGAGCATGTTCCTTATCAAGTCTAGTTTGTCCATACCAAATTTCAGCTCAAAATTCAATCGGGAAGGCATTCAAATCATTTTTTGAAGTTGACTGCGTCAAAATATACATAGAAAACTGCAGTCAACTTCAAAAAATGATTTGAATGCCTTCCCGATCGAATTTTGAGCTGAAATTTGGTATGGACAAACTAGACTTGATGAAGAACATGCTCAAAAAATTTCATCAAAAAATTCCACCGAGAAGGTGCCCAAACGGGCTCGGCCGGACGGAGCAGCCCGTCAGGCCGGCCTGACATGAAGATTTGTCTATATATATATATATATATACTAGCATTAGCACGCGCTTCGCGCGAGGGTGGATGCCCAATGGGAGAACATGGGCTGTGAAAAAGGGCAGAATATGCAGAAAAGAAAAACCAAGAAATAGTAAATTAACATTTCAGACCATTCAATGGAATGCAGTTTTAAAAGTATTCATGGTTGTTTGTAGAGAACCATCAGTGAAACAAAACACAAGAAATAAGCAATAGCACATCAGCATAATAGGAAAACATTGTAGGGGATTAAGTAGGCCCAGCAATGTTGGTGAATGCT